TAGGTACTTCATACAACAACATCGGTGGTGTGTATGGCAACATGGGAAAATACTCGAAAGCACTTTCATTTCACGAAAACGCACTTGATATCTTAAAAAAAACTCTTCCTTCAAATCATACTCATTTGGCCAGTTCATTCAACAACATCGGTAATGTATATGAAAGCATGGGAGAGTACTCGAAAGCACTTTCACTTTACGGAAAAGCACTTGAAATTTGGCAAAAAACACTTTCTTCAAATCATCCTCACTTGTCTACTTCATATCAGTGCATGGGTAGTGTGTATAAAAATATGAAAGACTATTCGAAAGCACTGTCATATTTTGAACATGCTCTGGACATCAAGCAAGATACATTACCTTCAACTCATCCTAGTATTAAAGATGTGAAAAAGAGTATTGAAATTGTAAAAAAGAAATTATAAAGAATAGTTGATAAATAAATAGAAGAATACTTTGTTTACTTGTTTTTGAATTAATTCTAGTTTGCAGCGACTTGCGCGCCCGTACTGAGAAGAACTCTGTAAATAAAGTAATGAACAAAGCTGACTAATAAGGTAATACACATACATACGTATGCTTATAAATCATCTTCTCAGACATATTTGCATTTCTAATTATTTACGAGTGTTTCTTGTAATAAAAGAAGAATAACTTAATGTAATTGAATTGTAATAGTGCTGAAAGAGGCCTCGTATGACGAGGAAAAAGTTTAAAAACTGCAGCATATATATCGATATGTCATCAACACATGGTCTAATCGAATCAGTCAATTAGTATTCATGATGTATTTATCAATTTAGATATATTGAAGATTTCATGAATGATAATTTATTTTTTAATGTAGAAAAGTCAATTATAGTGCTCTGATCTCGAAGTCAAACCAAGAGAGAAATTGCTTGATGAGATATCTTACAATGATCTCTCATTTTTCAATGACCAGCACGGATAGGTGTTTCATAGAAGGCAATATAAGTTATAGAAATAGATCAGCTAAATTGAATGTATGCGAAAAAAAGACTGATTTTAACAAGAAAGGAACCTTCTAGCTACTTAATAAGCTTCGGAATCACTAACGAGGAAACATCCCACAGTAGGGTGTGGGTGTGGATGTCCATGCATCGTCTTCTATATCATTGACACTCATACCCACACCATACCTACACTCACACCCTCACTATACCACACCCACAGCCACACCCTCAACTATGTAATTACTTTCTTCAAACAATAAAAAATGCCTAGAATTTTTCTTTATCTTATTCTTCGAATAAGTATACATGACCTTTTAAACATATGAATATATAGCGCGCCGTCATCGGGCGTCAGATAGACTACAAAAATCGTAACAAAATAAGCAACATAATTGGTCAACTTTGAAATATTTTTTCTTCAGTTCAATATTAATTTATCTAATTTTCCAGTCTATTCGGGTTCATTCATATATCTATCATAATAAATTTGTATCTAACCATTTAATAGTTGTAAGAGGTAACGATGAGCAAATGTACATTTGAATCATTACCAAATGAACTTTGGTTCATTATATTTTCTTATTTATCTTCATTTGATCTTTGTCAAGCATTTCTTTACATAAACAATACTCGCATTCAATCTCTTCTTACTTCAATTCATCATTCTCTCAATATTAATTTCATACATTATGATCAACTACATCTATGGCTCAATAGTGATCAGAATCATAGAAATCGTTTTACAAATATGATAGATACTATTGTATTGAATTATTCATGTGGTTGCCAAACGTTACTTGAATATTGGGAAAAGACTTTCAATGAAACTGAGCAATCCAATGTGCTCTTCGCATCAGTAAAACGCCTTGTTGTGTTACAGGCAGAACATCGTCCATATTCTCTTGTTCAACCAATACTAGCACCTTTGGTTTCCAGTAGTAATACATTACAATATTTGCATCTTATCTTCACAAAACGTACATACGATTACTTCAAGATACTTTCCGATCTTATTGATTATCGTGTTTCAGTTCATACTATGATATTAGAAGTTGAACAAGGTATGTTATTAAAACTATTATCGAAGTCAATAACTTGAATGACCAACAGGATTATTATAGTTAGATTTATCATGTAGAATAGAGTGAGAGATTTCAAATGGTTTTTAGATTTGAGTTGTACTGATGTGTTAAGATGCTTGAACTTGAAACAATAATTATATGAATACTTGGCAACTGGATTATCTCTAATACTTAGTTGATTAAATTGATATTTATCTTATTGCAGTTTATCAATTATTTTATATTAATATATAAGTGTCTTATTTTGAAAAAGGATCTTTGCTTAAATTCTACTAGGATGAATGCGAAATTTTGTTATTTAAGACAGCTTTACAGTCTGTTGGAATGATGTTGATGGAAATGAGTTGCCAAATGACGAACATTATGTTGTTTGTGCTTGTATAAAATATTCGTATCGAAAAATACTTTTAATATGATAGAAGAAGCCGCTATAACCATCGTTTAATGTTCGTTATAGTGATTTTTATCAGTCAATTAAAGAAACAACTT